GAAGTCCTTCTCAGGCGACAAAATTCAAACACTTCGAATTCACTCAGAACTTTGGGTATGGATCTTATCTGACATGCTGATTACAGACTTAGCACAAAGTCTACGAATTAAGTTCCCTTCGTTGGCTAACGGCTGAAAGTACCCTCTTTTTCGCCGCGCGCGATTTCGCGGTCCGAAACGTGTTAAGAGCCCTTGTCACTACCTCATAAATGTATCTCATATGGAGTTTGCAATTTATAGAGTTTTCCAGATCAAATTGAAGCTGTCAAATAAAAAAAATGTAACGGAACTCATTGATCTCATTACCTATTTTGATGTAGATGTTTAGATTATATATTCTTAGTGGCAATCTGAAGAACTTGCTTAATTTTAAGTAGAACTATTACATTTATGCTGTCGTAATCGGCTAAATGATTTCAACAGATGACAAGTGTTTTCTTTTTAGTAGTGAGTCATTCCAGATCACTAAGCATTCCATATATTGCTATATATGAACTGAATTTTGATCCCAGCGCTAGGTCATTGATCCACTTTTTCCTATAAACGAGAGAATGCTGACAAGAGAATCCTTCTTTCCCAGCATTATTGATTTAGAATAAACTTCTTCCATATCTGAAGGCCTTACTATGCTCCTATCTGACGTCATTCAATTGTCGCTTATTCAATTCTTCTGTTCGATTGTATCTGAATCATTCGTGCTAGCATAGCTGTCTATGGGCCGTGATTCCTGGTAAGGTGATATGTGTACGCTATGATTCAATGCAACGCAGTGAGAAACTGAAGATTTTATCGCTATAACGGCACTTTCCTGCAGTGTCGACCTTTAGCCCCGTCAAGCACTCGTATCTCTTTTTTTATCGGCTCATAAATTCAAATGTTGCGGTATTGCAAATATCCGGCGGGCATGCCAATAACTTTCACAGGTGGGGGGGGGGGGGATTCTCCTGTTATCACAACTGTAATGATTATTTGAGCCATATTAGCCGAACGCGCTGTTTGTAATAAGTCGTTTGAGCCAAACAAGCTAGTGTTTTTGCTCCATTAAATCGGGTTGATCTATAAGTCCTGCCAAATTCTCTGGAAAATCGTAATTGTTTGTTCTTTTGACGAATTTATTCAATTCAACGTAGCTTGGAAAGAGAAGATCGTGCGCTATTTGGAAGTACCTGAAGCAAGAATTTTATTGGCACTTCACAATGATACAATCCAAAAAGAGAAACAATTTTTGGTTTTTTATTTATTCAAAAAGAACCACATTGGGGAACTCAGTTTCAAAAAGGTTTTTATAAATATGCTGGAAGGTAAGAAATTCTAATTTTACCCTCAATTTTGGTTTTAATACCTCCCTTTTTGACTGCGAGACTATTGTGATTGCATGTCTCTATTGATAGTTATGATTTACGAATTTTCTAACATGACATCTCGACTTTGTTTCGAATTGAATTTCTAACACACGTAATTATATAGAGTAGAGCGCTTGTTGGACGTGTCAAAAAATGTAAGATATAATTTAAACGTTGTTCAAATATTTTAGCTGAATTTCTAGCATTTTTTGGCACAAGGCTTATGGATCAACTTATTTTAGCGAACTTTTCCCCATTAATTTAGTGAAGTAAGAATTTACCCTTGAAATACAATACTTCGAGTTTTGTGAGACTATTTTGCCACAAGCTTGATCTAAAGGTCTTTGTGAAGCTATCTTCTCTAATATTCGTTCTTTCCTGAAGACCTTCTATGTGACGGTAGTTATTGAGCGCTAGCTTGATGCCAACTCCCAAGAGATCCCCTGAAGTGGTCAGTCAAGCATGCTAATCCCGCGGTCCTCTTTTTCTGAATAATGCTATTCGCGCTTACATGTCTCCAGCTATTTTCCTTCTTCTAAACTCTAAGCTGCCTCTGAACAGAGCCAGTTCGAGTCCAATTTGAGTTTTGATAGTTGTTGTGCTCTTCTTGCTCTATTTCTCATAATTTTCGTTCCCCATGGTGATCCGATTTGAAGAGTAAAGGGTTGTTTGCTTAATTTAAGTCTAGTCTGTTGTTTTGCAAAGATGATGGGTGTTTGTTTTTTTTTTGTTTTTAAGCTACTGCATTCGCAAAGATGTTTAAGATAAATTTTTGTGGTCGCTATTCATCAAGAATGTGAACTAACCTTTGATACAGTAGTGATAGCAGAATCATCTCGGGGCGGGGAGAGATTCTTTACATCAAAAGACCTAATCCATGGCACATCATCCAAAATGTTTCCATAAATTTTCAGGCAGGGTATGACATGATGTCCAAAAATTTTACAGAACTGATTTGGTTCTTGTAAAACAATAAATATGTCCGTCTACGAGTAAAAACAGGCTATACAGCATTCGAGAAATCGTGACGATGGCGCAGGCGCGCGATACGCACGCAACCCCCGCCAACTGCATTTTCTCGTTTTTCATCTTTATTTGAATGGTTTCTCTGCCTATATATGACACTATTTAGACATTGGAAGTAACTGAGCTGAGAGTCGAGGTGATGCCTTCTTGTATGAGTGTTTTCTACTTATATGGGTGCAAAGACCGAGTAAAATCCGTCGTTACGATTTTACAAATGACCTATACTTGCACAATTTTGTCTCAAATGAACACTCGAGCAAAACTTTTCGAGCGTATGCATGAGCATTGTAAAATTTCATTATCCTACATATTAGAGCAGTGGCGTACCGAGGGTCCCCCTCTCCCGCAATGGGTCGCGAAATTCTTGAAAGTACTTATTTGAGACAAAAAATAAGCAGGGGATTTGTTCGTACTTGCAAACAATAAACATAATTTTAAAAATTTTTAAAATTTAATTTAGCCTTATAAAACAGTCCCCCCCCCCTCCTTCCTCTTCGAAGTGAAATTCTGGGTACGCCACTGCTGCACAGTCGTTGTTAGTTACGGTTCCTTTAATTTCCGTTCTGCACTGAAAACAGCTGATGGCAGCACGACTTAAGAATTAAACGAAAGACTGCCATCCTTTACACACGTTTACTGACTTTCTACAAGGCTCCAGGAGTTTGTCTCATGCAGGACATGAAATTCGATAGCGAACTCTTTGAAATTTAGTACTTATATGAGTTGAAATGTTAAGTGACTTCCTATACTTGTGAATAACTGGAATGATTACTGAAATTTTCTGAAATACACTCAGTCTTGAAAAATCATTTCTTGGACGAGTCAAAGCTATAATTTCACGCACACTACTAGCATAATTTTGCCGAAGCCTCGGCGCGATGGGCATCCAAATTTCCCAGATGTGTGTCGGCACAGAATATAGCCTCAAATGCTGGTTGGAATGGACTGCTTTTGCTGACGCTCGATTTGCTGCTATACTCCTTCTGCTTCTATCGTTCTTTGTTCTCCTTGTTAAGCGAAAGTCAATTCTGGGAAAAACACTGCACGTCATCGCTGGAGAAGGACTGGCGCAAGCGAAATAGCCTGGACGAGTCACGAAGTTGGAGTTGATTTGAAGGAGAAGTTTTGGCCGCGAAAAAAAAGTAAATAGGCATAACTTTACACGAAGGCAATTGTTACTAAATGCAAAGCATCATGATGAGGATAGTTTCAGGGAAAAAAAACTTGTACTCCACTAATTTGGTACGAAGACTTGCAGTAAATACTGTTTCAAGGTTACAGTCATGGCTGCGGGTCACGAACTCTATTTGCATATAGCGCGGAACCGTTGAAAAGAAGTTTCAGGGAATGCTAGTAGCATTATGCTAGTGTTGCTTTGCTTATCGTTAGCAGAACCATTTTGCCGGTTGGCACGATAAGCGCTGTTCAAAATCTAATTTCGCGCCTTCCCGGCAACGCGCGCGCGTTTGAAAACGTCGGGTCCCCACGCGCTTCAAGGTTCTCGCAGAGGCGCTCACCTTCGGACGTGTTTCTTTAGTTTTGGAGTAGTTAGCGAAATATACTGAGTAGAACGCAATATGTTTGGACGGGTTTCTGATGTGTGCAGGTGCGGTCTCTGCGCCTGTTCAATAAAGAACAGGGCGTTAGAAGGCACTAAGGAAGGCATTACTTCAGTGATCATTCCAATCACCGGGTATCCAAAGGCTATCATATGCCAACACTATCCTAGTAGGGAAGGAAGACAAGAAAAGGCGTCCGAAACTGTGCACGCGACGCGTTCGCGCCATTGTCAGGATTTCATGAATGCCTTATAGCTCCACTTCTTCACTTCGCTATTGGTCAGATCTCTACTCTGCCCAATAGCAAAGTGGATGAAGTGTGGGTTCTTATTCCCTCTACCTTTCCCTAAAGCATCGTTTGTCTTGTTACCGCACAAACATCGTACCAACTAGTTGCACTTCTTAAAATGAATAGACTCGTAGCAGACTGCAAAATACAGATCCTGAATTGTTTTTGGTAGAGTCAATCATATCGTACTTCAGTCCGCTGAAACGGGAAGTCGCTAAAATTTTGTTTTGTGTGGAGAAATAGAGCATGGCACACCCTTGCCTTTTCTTCGAACTAAATGTAAAGCAAGCTTTCTCTTTCCCACATCGTCAAAGCCAAACGGGTGGGTTCGATTCTCTCTTGAACGCATTGCAGCGGTTTTATATCGTTGTGTGAGAGGGTTGTGGACACAGCTCACCACTAGTGGTGCGCTGTTCCCACATTTGAATTTATAATTAGCTGAAGTGGTCTCTGCTTGCCTGCCCTGTTTCCAAATTTAGAATAGCGGTAACAAGTATTCTTTTGTGGCCAGACTCTTCACACCCAAGTCTCTTTTTGTTATGGGTTGAGCCTAGTTTAGCTCGAGCATGCCGTGTAGCTTCGCAGGCTCTTTGCGTTCCATAATCGATTCGTGGCTACGGGGCACACCGGAATCGCGTGAGTTCCTCTACATCTTCCAGGTTTTCTTGGTTGATTCTTGAGCATTACGCATATCGAGCTTTTTCTACGTCTATCGTCTCACTCATAACTTTTTTCGCTCTCTTTTTGCAAGTCTCGCGAAGGCTCATTTCTTCCTGATTGTTCATGATCTGTTATGACTTATCTCCATATGTTCGATCTATCTCGACATTTTCATTCGATTTTTGCCTCCTATGTGTCCGGTGCTCTTTCGAGATTATTGCCGAACTCCTTAGCAACCGTTATTTTGCGCATCTGAACGAATTGGTCTATCGTTTCGTACGCCCTATATTTTGCTTATTCTTGCATTAAGGCTTGGTATGGCAAGGTACGACTACCAACCGCGGTATGGCCTCGACAATTACACGCTAGTTCTTCCCTTGGAGGATACATTCGATCCTGTCAAGTCCACACAATGGATGCAGGAGAGCTGGCAACGGTCGGTAATGGTCTCAGCCGCCTATGTGGCTTTGATCTATGCGGGCCAGAAGGTATGTGCATAACTCCACCTTATTTTTTTATTGGGCTCCTTCATCAAACTCGAAATATGTGTCGGTTACGTTGGTGTAACTAGAAAACAAATAGTCTTTGTTATTGATGAATTAGGTGATTCCTTCAAATCATCTCAAGCATCCATACATCGCTGGCGCTACCAGTGTTACTAGTGTTAACAGTGTTATCCGTGTTACTGGTGTTGCCAGTGTTACCCATTTTATTCCCGTTACCTGTCTTATTAGCTTTAGCAATGTCATTAGTGTCACTAGTAAAACACTAATCAATTGCTGATACGTTCGAAGAGATGAAAATGTGAGGGTCGTCATCATTTCATTGTTCCCAGCAGCGAAAGCGGTAACAGTAGTTACAAGTATAACAGTAACTCGGGTAACATTGGTCACTAATAACACTAGCGACACTAAACCCGGTAACACGAGTAAAGCTGGTAACAGTTGTAATGCATGACCGAGGACGTCAGGCAGGAGGCAGCAAGGGCTAGCCGCCTTTGCTTCTGGAAGTGCCTGGGGAGCTGCAGACATCCTCGCGCCTATAATCACTCTTCGCACCTTTGAATACTTTACAAGCAAGAGGATCAAACGAAAATCTTCTTGAAAAGTAATTTACTCTGGATGAATTTGGAACTCTTGCAATTTTATCCAGTCTCAGCCATAATAAGTTTCAGCTTAGAGAAATGTCGGGTTTAGGGCGATTTTCTTTGAAATCTGTGCAGCAGAAAGGAGTAAGTCTGCCATAAAATAAAAGACATATGCTAACAGTCTTCAAATCCTCGCCTTCAATTGGAATGACTAAAATGAGAAAGAATCACAAGAATTAGTTCAAGAATCCGACTCGAAGATTTGATAGATCAAGTTATGCGTCCAAACCAACTCAAAAATCTGGTATTTTTATAGCGCATTTGAAGTTGAATTAGGCTAATCTCTACATTTGCTATGAATTTTAAACATAAAACCTATACTGGTATTTGCCATGCTTGAAAGTTTACGAACAATCGGATATAGGTCATATCACATGACTGAAGGTGCGAAGAAGTAATTAGAGGCGCGAGGAAGTCTGAAGGTCCTCAGGTACTTCCATAAGCACAAGCTGCAAGCCTTTGCTGCCTCCTGCCCGACCGCCCATGACCGAAGCCTTACATTTTCAAAGTCAAAGAATCTGTGAGAATGTAAGACATAGATCAGCATTTGGATGATCCATCCTGTTCGGATTTTGAGTAGGTATGACACCCCTTTAGAGAAACGACAGAGATTATTATGGCACCTCAGTCATATCCAATGTCATTTGAGATAATTTTTGCGGCTTAGCATACGAATATTATTTCTTCAAGGTAATGGAAAGTCGCAAGCCGTTTGGATTGAGTATGCCACTCTTTGTATGGAATATGGGCCTTGCAATATTCTCTATTCTTGGGTTCATACGGATGACGCCAGAATGGGTTTGGAGTTGGAGAGAGTAAGTTAACGCTATTAAGTGTTTGAATTTTGTCGCTTTGAGGAATGAAAACGATAAAGAACTTCCATAGCTCTATTTCAAGAACGGGTACTTCACGGAGCCTTAAGCTGAATATTTTAGCAACTCATTCGTCTACTCTATATGTACTGCTTCCTACGCACAGGGTGTTACGGGTTTTTGGACAGAACAGTTCGCTATGAGCAAAGTATGATGAATTGGGTGTAGTTCTCATGTCTTTGAGTAAACTTGATTTGCAGGTTGCAGAGCTACTTGACACGGCCTTCATAGTGCTTCGAAAACGTCCTCTACTCTTCCTACACTGGTACCACCATGTGACTGTGTTGATCTTCACATGGCATGCTTACAAGGACCACACTGCTTCTGGTAGGTCCTAACAAGTCTGTTCCGAGTTTAATTTTATCTTATAGCGTTTTCTATTTAGGAAGATGGTTTATTTGGATGAATTACGGTGTACACGCTCTCATGTATACTTACTATGCACTCCGTTCATTACGGCTACGCCTTCCCAAACAGATCGCTATGGTTGTCACAGTATTGCAGATCTCACAAATGATCATGGGCATTTATATTGGGTTTACAGTTTATAGAGTAAAGGTAAGTACTATCGCCCAGGTTCACATCATTCGGTGCATGTTCATGAGTTTGCTAAACCTGCATTTCCAGTCGGCAGGTAATCAGTGTCAGCAGACATGGGAAAACCTTGGCCTTTGCTTCGCAATTTACTTCACCTATTTCCTACTTTTCTGTAATTTCTTCTATCATGCTTATTTGAAGAAGAACAATCGCTACACTGCCGGAACTAAGCCTACAGCAAAGGTGGGTTCTAAATCTAGTTTGGGGTAAATATTGGATCAAATACTCGTAAACTTTCCAAAAATGAGATTTAACCATGGGTTCTAGGAGAATACAAGATGAAAACTCCTATCTAGTTACTGTGTTCAGAATCTTCTCTTTGCGCTTTTGTTAGTTTGGGAACATATTAAAAAATTATTCTCAAACTTCAGCTGAGAAACTATTTTATAGCTTTCTAAGGAAGAGCAACCAGAGGTCGAACAACTCAAAGAAGACATCAATGCAAATATCAGCGGGTCGACAATCGTGACTAGGAGTACAGCTAGACGAAGGGCGCAAAAGGTTGACTGAATGACTGCTCTTTATGCAACTACCCCATACTATGCTTGTAATATAGTTGATTCATTTTTTTGTATGGCGTAAAGTTCTTTTCTGGACTACGGGTCCATTTCTTCTAGTTTGTTCATGTGTCCATGAGCTGGGCCTTTTCTTATAATCTCATAGCATCAATTTTCCTTTTTCATTGGAATACTGTATGTCTAGTATCAAAATTTTTCGAATGCAGTAGTTAGCAATATGAAATTTCCTTGTTTCCCCAAACCGATTTTTGGTTTTGCCTTGCCAGCTCAGTATTCCAAAAATTGTCACTTTGTTGATCTGACACTCCCAATTTTTATCACTCATAACCGTTCCGCTTCCAACAACACTCATACATTGGTCTTTTCTACTCACTTTCACGAAAATACCATGTTCAGTATAAGCGTTCTCTTTTGCTCTTTTACCAGTGTCTGGTTGATCTTAAACACTTCTGTAATTACTTAATACATTTAATTATTGTTGGACATTAAATCTGCTTCGGTTTCTCTCCATAACCCGGAAAGTGTTACTGATTCAAAAAAGAATAATGTGAACATCCAATTTACGCCAGTTCAAGACGTTATACGTCAATGGAGGTAGAAAAGAGTTACAGTACCGCTGTCATCACCAAATATTCGATATCTCCATATCCCTCTTCTGGGTGGAGGACTATATGTCGCCGAATTTGGAAGAGTCCCGCGCGGATTCCCTGCAGGAACGCATGTCCGCGCATGTACTCAGACACTCGCACCGGCCGGCGGCCGCACAAAGACCGGCTGGCGCGACCACATGTCATTTCACGCAGCCGCGTAGTCTACGCCCGCCGGCCGGTATTCGGACGGGCGCCGGCCGGAAAGGTACGGCCGCCAGCCGGTGTATACTGAGGAACGGTAGAACTATTTTACATGGTAGAACTGTCTTTTATTCACTAGCATATTGGAAAATACACTGCAAAGAACAAAAATCAAGGCCGCTGATGTAGCAGCTTCGGAGACCACGTCCGATTTTAAAATTCGACAACACCGAAATACTATCGAGGGTTGTCTATAAGACAAAATGTGCCTTGTTCCTGCTTCGGAAATTGAAGAACCTACAAGGCATTGAGGGTAGCCTAACCATGCGTCGTATCTCACGCAAGTATCCTTTACGCTAAGACACTGGGAGATAGAATTTTGGGACGGTCGCCGGCCGGCATGATCTTTTGGGACGGTCGCCGGCCGGCATGATCTTTTGGGACGGTCGCCGGCCGGCATGATCTTTTGGGACGGTCACCGGCCGGCATTTAGCTCCGCCCAGATTTATGGAACGGTCGCCAGCCGGAAGGCCGTCGTCGGACGGTCGCCGGCCGGTGCGAGTGTATGAGTACAAGGGTGCGTATTTGTCGCAAATGATCGCGGGGACCGCCCTTTTTCGGCGACATATAGTCCTCCACCCCCCTCTTCTGAATGAGGTGCGCAGAAAAACGTACAATTCAGTAGGTCTCCCCTCAATATAGTGCTTACGGTGCCGCAATTTTGCGGTAAAATTTGCAAATAATTACACATAGCCTGCTGCATGACGAAGACGCAATATCGTCGGAACGCAGCTTTATTAGCCGCAGAGCTCATGAGGCGCAGGATTTACATCGGTGAGGATACGCGCTCGTGGCGTTCGCGCCCGCTTAACTAATACTGCTTCTGCGCCTTCGTCATGCAGTAGCCCTTATCTATGCCTAATGCCTGACATTTGCGCTCGAAATGCTGGAATTACTGGCGGCTATTTGTTCGCGCGCAAATTTTGCCGCAGAATCTTATCACCACAAACACTTTATAAAGCGAAGAACCGGAAAAACTGGACTGTAAAGGGACATTTTTTATTTTTTTTTTCATGAATGTGGAATGCATTATCTAGTGAAGGTCCAAATTCTTCATTGAAGGAGATCTTATAATGGGACTCAAGAAATGAGTTGAATAAGTGGAAATAAACTGCGAAAAATTGTTTATATACATGGAGGCAGCACAAACTGGAAACCGCTTAAATCCAAAAAATTCCGAGAATATCTTTGGGAAATCAGAGATATGCGGAGAGGGCTCACTTAGTTTTATCCGATGAAGCGGACTTCGCCTTTTCGACCATCTACAGAACACGATATTCAAGAAATCGATTTGCTTGTGATTAACATTCGTCTCACCTGAAGCAGCATTTCCGGAAATCTGCGCCGTTCGCGAGTGATGCATGTCGTGCAGAACAACGCGCCAAAGTACACGCTACACGTCTAATGGCAAAAAATTATAGCGATATAATAATATTGACAGAAGATTGACAGCCTCCAACCTTATCGAGACAAACAGATTGATTGCAGATGGAACATGACGAGCCGAGGACGAGGAAGTCAGATAGTACTGCTTTTCTCCCTTTCACACGTCGAGGAGGTACAAAGGGATCCCTCATGTAAAACACTGGAGCAGGATAACTGAAGCAAATTTTTTTTGTGAAATTTTGTTGAAAAACTATTCACTTACAAGCCATCAGAGGCTTTCAAATCTCCAAAGAAACATTTCTCACTCAACTGGCATATGGAGCAATGAAATTCCACATACGGCTCAAGCTTGCTCACATCCTCTTCATCTTAAATATTATTATCTCTTGTACTTCGCATTTTTTACGGGATCTCAGCGCGACCTACTCTTGATTTTGTCGTTATCATCTTGAATTGGGGCTGTCGAAGCAGATGCAGAGCTGAAATTTCAAGAAGTGACTTCGTAGTTTCGGCCTGCACTTTTTTCATGTTTTGTTTTCGATTTGGCTATGACAGTGGGTCAACAAGTTGTGTCAAGGTTTAAGTTCTTTTGTCGCGAAAACACATCCATCCAAATCTCATTTTTTTAAGCTTTGAATAATATTATATTTGGTCGGTTCAAAATTTCATGCCGATTTTTCGACCTATCATAAAGACAGGGAGAATAAAGATAGACAAACGGTTCGAGCACTATTTAAAACAGCTTTCCTTTCTCTTTTCATCAGTCATGTTTCTCATTAGAATAATCGTCGATGTTCCGAAACCATGGTTTTTACCATGTCCTACCTGAGCTGATTTAGAATTTCACTTTACAATTCTGGAAGAGGTTTAATAGCAGTTGGATAGTCTTAAAAAAGTACAACGCAACGCATTTTTTAGCAACACATAGCTTGCTTTTGAAGAATTTCTAAAAATTTTTTTATAATGCTACCAAGTTCCATATTTGGTCAATCCAGCTTATATAGTTTTATGCGTTCGTACATCTCACGATTTCGCAAAAGTGAGGATTTTTTGGAAGGTTATCTCAGAAATACTAAGAAGGCAGTTAGAGATGTCGGAAAAATTAAGGCACACTGCTTCATTCGGATGCTATCAAACTCCTTTCAAGGTTCAACTTCCGAAATACTGCTGAAATCGGACATGGTAAACACCATAGTTTCGAAAAATAGGCGTTAACTTCAAATCACAAGGAACGCTTCACAAGCATGGCTGCAGAAAACAGAAGAAAGTACCTCACATAGTTTTTTTCCAATAGTTTGCCCAATTTATTCCACGTATTTCTGCGATAGATCGAAAAATCGGCACAAACTTTAGGACGGATCAGTATTCGACAATCGAAAGACTCGAATATTCGACTATTGGATATTATTCGAGGATCGAAAATTTCAGTCATTTGCTTATCGAATAATAAAAATACAAAATTTTCGCACATCCGACTTCAATGTCCGTGAATGATTGTCAAATAATCCGCTTTCACATTTTATCAATTACAGATTTTCGAATTCCGAACCATTCGCATTTGTTTCTTCAAATGGTCAAACAATTATTCGATTCTTTTGTGAAATGGCTGAGCTTCTACCAAGATTGATATAACGTTTATTAGGCTTACGTTTCGGCCAACTCGTCTTCGTCACAGCTTTGAATCTGAGAGACCACCCACCATCGAGTAACATGCATTATTCGATTCAATTCAAGGTATAAGCTAGACCATCACAGTTAAAGTCGTAGAGAGCAATTCCGCGTCTCACCCGTCCCACCCGCTTAATTGTAAGGGCGTTGAAGGAACGCTTGTTCTCACCGTTTTTGCGCTCTGTATGTGGATTTTCAATTCGATGAAGCTGAAGACCCCAAAGCCGAACAGCAAAAAATTAAGGTCCTGCCCGGACACTGCCTTTCACATCGCTCCTGATAGAATTACGTGTATAGGGCCACTCCATTCTTGATTTCTTTGCATTTTCCACACAAAGTTTGTTCAAGCAACTTGCAAGTGACATATTGCGTGCTCCAAAAACAAGTTCTAGGATAATTAACTGATAAAGAGTCAGAGCTGGTCTAGGCACTATGTATGAAGAAAAGTGAGAAAGGAAACATGCCTCTGCTCTGCTACACCGGTGTCGATGGCATCCTGACCACTCATTTTGACAAGTTGCTCAAATTGAAAGGCGGCTACTTATAATTACCTAGAAGCAGAAACATCTGAAGAGAAGGACTTGGTATGTGAGAGATCAGACCAACAAGCAATATCAACTTATCAATACAGGTCTTTCTCATCGTTGTAGAAAAGTGAAACCGTAATAAATAGTTGCTCAAATCCTGCGCAACGAAGATTTGGAAGCAATAAAATTGCTCTAGAAAATGCATGCGTCCGTCCCGCCAATTAACTGAGTGTGAAAGTGATAAGTTTGCAACTGGACTTCAAAGTAAATAACAAGTCGATACCTCGCCTAATCATAATATCAAATTTTGCGCATTCTAACTGCTTAAAGCCCACTTCGAATACGCTTACTTCCATGCTACCCATGTTGACAAACGGGAAAGGATCCAATGCATCGGCGATTTTTATAGCCAGATGGGCATTAATTCGCACGTCTTTAGTGTTTTATTGCGAGAAATTCAAGATTACAGAAAGATGTATCAGATGAGAGCATGTTTTGTTCAATGCTATAACCCAATAATAAATATGTAGCAGGTCAAAAACCATCAAAATTGCAAGTAACACATTCCATTAGGTCGTCTCGAAGTAATTTCCCTTTTTTTTTAAATTGAACGCCACGTTTCGTAGAACAAAAATTTCTGAGAGATTTTGGTAGCATTCGATGCAGCAATTCATCCTCTCTCTAACAGTTACAGAATCATTACAGCACGTCAATGAATTCTGAGAAAGTCAACAGAATCAGCGATCTGTGATTAGCTGGTCCATTTATTCCAACCTTTATACAACCAAGCAACGAGTCGATAGAGCAAACCTTACATAAACAGTGCATCTGTTTTCATTTTTCCATAGCTCGCCATAATTTTTTAAAAGAGTTTTTACTACAGCATCGGATTTTGGCAGGTCTTCCAGCCATTAACGCATCAAACGCCTATAATTCTACGAAATTTGGAACTTCCAAAGATGGTATTACAATTTAAGAGTAATTTTACGAAACAAGAACTAAAGTGAGAACTTACGGATTCGAAATATCAAATTTCGAGTTTTTCGGGCACAGTTCGGGGAACGTTCAAAAACATGAATTGTGATTAATTTACTCACCCTCCCCCCCCCCCAAAGACTCCACGAATTGGAAACAAAAAGTACTCGTTAGAAAAAAGAGAGAACGCTGCATCAAATAGCACCCGAACTGCTCGCCCTTTGATGTTCTACGAGGTTTAAGTTGACCAAGTATCAGTGAGGTGCCCAGGATTTTCGCTCGGGGGAGTGGGGCAAAGTTTTTTTTCTGGAAACAATGCGTGGCAATTTTTGATATGCTTTCTAAAATTTCTGGTCCAGAATTCTGAAATTTCAGCAAAAGGGGACGCCACGCTGACGCCACGCCCCCAAAAAAATTTTCTAAGCCTAAAATGAGTTTTAAAACATTCTAAAAAATTATATCAATTATTTGCAATTAAAGCAAGTCATTTACACTTTTTCATGGCTCATGTAAGTAATTCAAAATTTCGTAAAATTGTTTTGCGTTCTTGAAGGTTTGCTCTCTGCTCATATGTTAGATACCTGGATTTCTCCGATAATCGGTACAAAAACTAGAAAACTAGCGAAAATTGCCTATGGCAAGAATCAAGGGTCGTGTTCCTTGGTAATTTTCAAAAAGCTCATGAATTGTGCTGCAGTGAATTTACATTTATTAGAAAGAGGATGAAATGCTGCGTTGGATGCTCCCAAGATCTTCCAAAAATATTTCTTTTGCGAGTTGTGAAGGAGATTCATTTGAGGAAAGCGAAATTATCATCGGAACGACCTAATATCGGTCCAACTTTCAAAAAAATTTGTTAAACTCAGCAAGGGTAGCTTTGAACAGATAGTATGCCAAATCACCTTGTTTTGTATTTTTTGAAGGCACACATAATGCTGAACTCGAGCTTTGAATTGGTGACCCTGCGAAAGTCGCACCTTTTGATCTCCTCCAATGCATCTTCTGAGACAATTTTCTCGCTTCGGAATCCATTCTCCAGCTATTGGGGAACTGCGTACTGGAGGATCCCACCTATTGTAGTGCGCTAGATTTCTCGATCCTCAAATTTGGGCAATTTTTTTTCAAAAATCCTCTAGTTCCACGTCTTTTACTGGTGCCAGAGATGCACACAATACACCCGAGTAAGCTGCGGTGCTACAATATGCGCGAGATATTGAAGATCAAGTTTTGTTACCTTGAAAGGATAAGGAGTGCGTTAGTGATCCGTTCTACTTTGAGGTGATTAGACCTAGATCAAAATAGAATGGTTATAGTGTTACGATTTCTTGCTAAACTAGGCAACTGCTTACTAAGATGAGGTTGGCGCGGGTAAGTTATGATTTTAGTTGCAACAGAGCCTATTCGACCCATGCGTACAGCTTTGCTTAGAGTAAGATGTTGCCATGGATAGTCTTTGATGAGATGCCTTCGCGACAAACACATTTGCGAAATATAGAGATTTTGCTCGTGACACAGCGAGGTTCTTATAGGTAGAGGGTAAAAGCTAATTAAAAAAAAAAAGAAGCCAAGACGTTGCAAAAGTAGGATTACGAAAAGTTATGTTCTTGGTGGAAAAAATGGGGTAAATCTACAACGCTGTTTAACAGTGGCCGTCCAAGGAAAAGAAATGAAACCTCCCCCCCCCCTCCTTATAAGAATGGGTTGTGCAATTTTTGGAAGTCACTTACATGAGTTATAAAAATGTAACTTGCTCGTATTTGTAAATGATTGAAGTGGGTTTGATTTTCAAAAATTCAACTTTGCTTTGCGCAGGTTTTTTGAGTGTTCGGAGTCATAGGCCTGCAAAACTTGGGAAGATTTTGAATTGTATGGTCAGCGCTATGCACTTCTACTCGAATGAATTTGTCCCCCTTCCCCTCCCCGGACGGAAATCGCGACCGCCACTGCTGTTTAGTAAAACTTAGGGTGTTTCTACAACAATCTTTGATGGATATTTGTAGCACGAACTCCGTCGACTAACAAATGTATACGAATATGCACTCTTCAATGTTGTTGATGGCAGTCGCCGAGATAGATAAGTGATCAGTACCTTTTGAAGCATTTACGAAATAAAAGATAGTTGAAATAATTGCAAAGCAATTCTCGGCTTTCGTTGTAATAATTCGCAATAGGAATGACAATATATATAGTCTTTACTGAAGGCAACAATACGAAAACGCAATGACTTGGAAAATTAGTCTCTTTCTTAAGAGAGACAAAATCGCGATGAATACAATGACAGAACCAGGACTATCATGGTAAAGCTGATCATGGCCGTAATCACAGAGCTATTTTGAGACGAAGAAAAGATTAATAAATTAGATAAAGCGTGATATCTATACGAAGATAAAAACGTCATTGGTGTAGGAAATTATGAACAATGTGAGCTGTGAATTAAGGCTCAAAATTCGTTTCAGGATTGTACGAGAACAAATGAAAACGAAAACGCATAAACAAGAGTTCCTGCTCGATAAAATGTGTTATCTGAGGCGAAAAAAAGAGCAAATGGACCCGTAGTCTACCGGCGCTGTCCAACGCCGTACACGTCATGTGTTCTGTAGTAGTTTTGCAGTTCCGCAAACAGCATGGCTGAAACATTACCGATTAGGAAAAGTAGGTTAACGTTAGCTGCGAGATAGACTGTTAAGCTTCTTGTAATATCATATTTTGCAAGGACCTCGGATAAACGATAAACTGATAATTTAGTGGATAGATAGAGAGTGTCCATTAGTTGCGTGCATTTTCACGCAGCTAATCTGTTCCTTACGCTTCTTATGTTGCTATTTCGATTTTACTTAATGTACAGGGTAGATGTGTCAAATCAATATAACCACATGCTTACTTAGGGGTACGGATCAGATCAACAAAAGCTTATTTTGAATGCACAAAAAGACTATAAGAAAAACATACACTCCTATGCGAGCCAAATTTTATCTACCCCTCACTAGATAACTAGGAAAATGGTAAATACGCAGAGCGTAGACTTATACAAGATGCGAATTCAGATGAACAAAAATTGAACCGCATCGCAGCTAATGCTCATTACAGTCAAATGCTAACAGGCCAAGAAACAATGACGAACAAGAAATGCTAGTTCGCGTTTGCACTGTCTAGAAAAATAAAGAAAGTAGTGTCTCGAAAAACATATTGTTGCTGTTCGCTCGCAACTGAGCAGCCTTCCAAGTACAGTGTCTTCAACATAAAAGGTTATATACTACCTGCATTACAGACAAAAACTTTTCGAATAGAGGGATGTTATAAAAATTAGAAAAGTTGAAGAAACAACAAACAACACCTCTCCACTCCTCAACCGTATGTTCGCCATCAACGGAAGGATCGTATTGACCAGGTGGGGGAGCGTGGACCTGCAATACGATTTGTTGTCAGTTGATAGTACGGGAGTTAAAGAATATTGAGCCTGGCACTAAATCAAGATTGGAGGCGAACGCTGGAGTTTCATGGGGAAAAACATTCACTGGACCACTATATGCGAGCATGACCTTCTTGCAAAATTAGTTTTATTTGCCGATCACAATTTAGCAGCAAAGTCAAACGATATATAAAGTGGACATATTTACAAAACCTGCAGAGTTTTTAGCACCCGCTACCACATTAAGAAGACTTGATATAGTGGAAAGAAGTTTACAAGAAAGATCAACAAGAATTATATAAGATGCAACCGGAAATTCATACCTCAGAAGCATCGTACCACACATTCACATATTCGTGTGCTATTGCATCATCGACTGATATTCTCTTTTCAGGATCAATCACTAGCATGCGTGATAGAAGATCTCGCGCTTTTGCAGCTAAAAATGATTTTTGATACTTCTCTCAAATTTAGGTTTTGACTACCTGTCAGGCGTGCATTGTCGGCTCCTGGCGGGAACATATTATCGGCAAATAAAGTTTCAAACGGCACTGGTTGGTACCTGCAAATTACGTAGCATCGCATCATATATTGAGAGCATTTAATGCAATTAAGCAGCAAAACGGTGTGTTCTACAAGCTAAAACTAAAAGTAACAATCCCAACTTACCGCTGCCGATTTTCGACGTAATTTCGTACAGTCGTTTGTAATCTTGCTAAAAATTGGGGTTCGGGAGTCCCTAATAATTCAATTATCCGTGTCCATTGATCAATATGGTCAGCACCCGGGAAGAGTACGCGTCCTCTGATGAGTTCTCCGAATATGCATCCAACCGACCACACATCAACTAAATGTTGTATTCATTCGCTTAAAAATGGCATGATATATCGATTAGATGCCTAAGAAAACGATGGAAATATAGCAAGTCAACAAATCCCCTGCATATCATCCTATGTGATGTCAGAGGATCGCACACATGCAAATCATGCTGAGCTCAATGCAAATGATGCATGAAGGTGAGCGTGAGTAATCGCATATAGAATGCTTGCGGACGTAAGCATATCAGGATAAATCAGAATTTCACTATGCGTCATCTTTTGTTTATGAAAATCACATTGCCTAGATGTAAAGTTGGTAAGATCTAGCGGACAGTGACTCATAGATACACCTCCATGATACCTTAGGACATGTTGCACATCACCTCCGATTTGACTAAATGTAGAAAGAATGAAATGATAGATGTAACAAAAACATACCATAGCAGTAAGCAGAAGACAGGAAGACAAAGCAAAGAAAAAGAAGAAGTAAAGACGATCCTGCGTAGCCTGCGAGAAAAATAACCCACCGTTTTCTCCATAGCCCATTCCAAGAATGACCTCTGGAGCACGGTAGTATCGCGTAACTACATAAGGTGTCATCATGAATGCTTCTACAGCTGTCCTTGCAAGCCCGAAGTCCAAGATTTTTAGAGTGCAGTCACTCTTGACCACGATGTTGGAAGGTTTCAAATCCTGAAATTTTGCTCTACTATCTCTATCGTTTATTACGTAATAAGCAGAATTCAAAAAAAAAAAAACAGCAATTGTCAAGGTAACAGTGGTTTGATGGAGCAGGCACTTGTCTAGTGTATGCAGTGATATTCTTCTCATGTAGTGACGAGTTTCATTTGTAGGACAGTTATATGCTAATTTATTACTGGCGAGTACATCAAAAAATAAATCTTTTAATGAAGACTGACTTCCATGCGAGCACGAAATCAAACTACCTAGTTCAGAAAGCGCTTACCACATCCTCACACACATTCACTATATCATTAAACACAGCTCTTTTCAAATCAATTTCAAAAACACCAGTGGAGTAAAAAGAAGGATACGATCAAAAAGAACAAACCCTATGAATTATTCCAGCACTGTGCAGGTGTTTGATTCCGCACAACATTTGATACAATAGATATGATAACCGTTCATGATCCAAATCCATTTGTATGACCTGGAAAAAAAACTTGCAAGACTGATTTGAGCATGCGATTCATTATTTTGTAACAAAGGGTGGGAAAACGCTAAAAAGGAAAAGTCTTAGAAATATCTGAAACTTCAACAATAAACGTTTAAGATAAAAACTCGACTAATCTTGCACAAAAACACAAACATCGTACTAAAGTCATTGATTTACACGAGGAACTAACCTGGCACAAATTTGCATCCATCAATTCCATAACAATATATAAGTCATTAAATTCTTCAACTTCTCTCTGGGGAGAGAACGCATTCAACAATCCAATAATCTGCGGAATGTTGAATAAGAAGTTACGTCAAACATCACAAGTAATAAACTTACATTTTTATGATTGACAAGATTCATAAGAATAAACTCTCTATATGCTCGTTTCGCATGCGTGACATTTTGGAAAGGACGGGATAACTTTTTTATAGCAACAGGCTTATTAGTTACCGTGTCGGTAGCAGCACTAAACACAGAAAACAGATACGGAAAACGATGCAAAAGCATGAGAATTCTAGAACTTACCAAACAATCCCTTGAGCACCTGAGCCAATAAGCCGTAGGTTTTCATATCGTTTCAGCACAACCATTTGAGTCTCCCCTATCGGAACCACATAGTAGTTCTCCGGGACCGATGTTGAAGCCATCGAAAACGTGCTGTAAGCGCTCGTTCATATAATCAGCAATTTGGCAAGTACAAGTGTTGGCAATCAAACTATGGAAGTGTAAGAATTGTTGATCGAATGATACTCCACAAATTTGAAAAAAAATTATCGAAAAACTTTCACAAATAGCACACATAAAAATTAAAATTGAAGTAAATCACAAAATTCAATGGAACTACCAGGTCAGAAAGCCTCTTTAACTAATCAGACTAAAGTAGCAAAAACAAAGGCGTGATAGCAGCACAACGAGAAGGAAACGATATGATGCCGAAATTTCATGTAGCGATGAAGTTCGCTTGACTACTGCAAATAGCAGAAAAATATGTCAGCGCTATCCATTAAATTTGGCGAGAAGAATGATTAACTTACTTCCTAGACACGGGTGTGAAAGCACTGTGGCAGCTATCGAGCGAGAGCTCGTCCTCACGAGCTCCTGAGGTTGTCGCCAGCCACTGAAATTCAGATCCTTGATACAACTCCTTAGTTATATGCTGGTAAATGCAACATTCAGAATTTATGTTGCAACATGCAATAATGCGAACTGCTCTGAACAGAATTGAAAATAATCAATGGTAAAAGAATGATCTTGGAATAAAGCTTGAAAACTCAGCAGAGCTTCCATTGATCTGAATTCAAAAAAGCTGAAAAAAAGCGTTAGCCGATTTGTGGAACTAGGAACTCACAGTGCCACAAAGTAAATACTAATTAGAATTTAATTTTGATAAAGCTACCTCCTATTTGGACCAAAAGCATATGGTAAGTAGCATGTAAGCAACTGCTGAAATGCAAAGGAACTGATATTTATAGCAAAAAGCTGAGTCAGCAAAAGCTTGCATTCAAATCACAACTTTTAGAAAAGACATAGATGCGTAGGTGGAACACCGGTCATGATTAGCGAATGACTTGCATGGCATGCAGGAACGCGATTCTCTAGCAAGAATGTTGGCGGCGCCGCGTTATGGAGCAAAGCTACGGCGCATTTGCCTCTGGTATAACCTGAGGGCCCTTTGCGTTGCGTCGCTCCTAATTGCAGTCGCAGAGGAGCTAGCGCTACCGAGCGAATTTAGCCATTTTCCTCACTCTTCATAAATGAAGAGATCAAAGTGTGAATGATAAACGCATTTCAAGGTTAAATATAGAATTTGAGAAGGAAAAGTTTGCAAAGCAAGCCAAGAGAAAGTAAGAGATGAGTAAGTTAATTTCTCTTGGAAACTCATGACGGAAAATTCCTATCCTTTTTCTCTACTGATTCTCGTGTTCTACTTCTCTTGAAAAATTTTTGAATCAAATCAAGCCTTGCATCATCTCAAATCCAGCCTTTGATTCATCCCTATAAATTTATTTTTTTGATTTTCTTAATTGTCGTCTCTTTGTTCTCCTTATTGCAACTATACAGTTTCAACATATTAGGTCGCGGTAATAGGGGATGGCTCAATCCGCTAGCAGGAGCAGCGCTACTCCTGCGCAATTAAAAGCGACGCAACGCAAATTACCCTCAGGATATACCGCAGGGGAACGCGGCGTAGCTTTGCTCCATAACGCCTGCCCCCCCAAGAATGTTATGGAGGTATAGAAACAGATAATACACGTCATTGAAACTAAAAACGCTAAAACGATTACCTGCCCTAAAAAGCGTACAGTAAATTCAGCTATGGTCATAAAAGGTGAGCTTTATTCATGCTGCAGTTATAGATTCCACTACCCGGACACTGGGAGTATGGCGTAGACAATTAATAAACAAAAACAGTCAGAACGGACACTACATGGGAAATAAGCAAGAATCATTCAGAAACGCCTTGCTTGGAAGCTACCAACTTTGAATAGTTCATCCTGCTTTCTCTAAAGCTCTTACGAGCCACTTAGCAAAAAAGGACCCATACTACATGCAGAGAAAGAAAAAATTCCGTTGCTGGAGTCAACATCGATTTGCTCGGATTGTGCTGACGCTACGCGCGCCCGCGTCGTCCCCAGGAGAACTAATTTTCGCGTGCGAGCACATTTGGCAAATAGTGCTTTCACTAAATTACAACTCTATGTTTCTGTCGCACCAATGAAGCTACTTGGAAGCCATATCAGAGAGGTAAAAATGTTTAGCGACTTCCATATTGCACGTAATCCAGTAGCGGCATGGGCTTAACACGGTTACGGAACCTATTCAACTTCGGCTGTAAATCTAGTTCTTCTTGTATGGTGCCTAACAGTTTTTTAAGGTCTAAATAAACATTCTTATGTTTTACATTATCTCACCAAAAATTTATATTTTTTGAGAAGAACCCATTCAGCAGAAGAAGCGATAAAAAATCAGCTTACATCTTATTGTTAGTTAGAAGCAGTGAGCAGTACTCGTCTTCATCGAAAAAGACAACTGTAACCATAAAAGGAACAATTAGGTGATGACGACACTAGTGGATGGTTTTTGAACTCATCCAAAAAATTTTACAAAGTAAAACTCTCTTAGAGTAACGAAACTGATTTATATTCACAAATGATAATCTAGATTTTAATGAAAGCTCTTGATAACTTTTTTCCTAAAGAAGGAGTGGGACGAGAGCAATGGATCTACAATATAATTTTTCTTGAACTCATTCAAGAAAAATTTGCAGGATAAAAATTTCTCAGAGTAACGAAATTGATATATATTCGCAAATGATAATCTAGATTTTAATGAAAGGTTTTGATAACTTTTTTCCTGCAGAAGGAGTGGGACGAGAAGCAAAAAGGATTCGACATGAATATGGAGGCGTGAGCGTTGTCTACGCACTTATTTTTTTTTGCCAGCTAAATCGATTTTTCAAAACCACCTACACTGAGGAAATTTTCTTGCTTTAAAACCATTTTTAGGAGCTCAAAGATTGATCGCATAGTCGTATGAAACACGGTTGTAAAAAACTTAGTTTGCATAGTACGGTCATATGCAATCACCACGTAAAGCCTACCAGAAATTGATAGTTGCCAAAACCGCTAAGATTGAAAAATATTTTAGAATTCTGTTTCTGCCTGAAAATTACCTATGAGCTGCAATGAAATTATTAAAGCTTATATGCATGGCACTAGTGATCACAGATCCTTTTTAAGGATGATGACAAAGCGAGAGGGGGAAAAAAAGGGGAGGGGGTAGGAGAACGGAGACGAGATCAAATGGAGGAGCGGGGAAGAGATACGCTCTCGTAGGAACGAATAGCTAGAATGCTAAAATTTTACTCGAGGAAAGCAAACGTCAGCCGCAGTTCGTTTACTTTTTTGTGAAGCATACAATTTTTGGATGGAGGAATCATTTGAGCCCTCACAAAAAAAGTGAGCGAATTTTACAACTCAGTACAGTGTGGCCTCAAAGTATTTTGCTTTTTAGCCACCATCGGGATTTATCCTAAGTGATAATAATATAAAGCTGTTTGCGAGTGTTGTTTGAGCAAGGTTTTTCGTGGTGTAAAAATATTGCTTTCGCTCTCACAGGTTGTTTGTAATACTCAGCACAGTTAGATAATCGAGTTTCTGAGCAATTTTCCTACTACTGAAGGCAATACATACTGGAAATTTTGTTCTGTTTGTATATATTGGAATTAGAGACGTAGCAAATTTGTGTTGTTGTTGCTTGATTCTATTCGCGATCAAGCAAAAGCTCGAAAAACAAAAAAAAACTATCAACCTGTTTACGTCAATGACGAAAGTACCTACTGATTAGAATCCATCACAACCTACGTGAAAAAGCAGTCGCCAAGTCTAGATGGATTGTCCTAAACTACACGCTATTTTAAAAGGATACGCTCCAGAACCGCTAATTGGGGAGAAATTCGAGAATAGCAAGAGACGAATGTCAAGTTGAAGGAGAAGAATACGCCGTCGCTGGAAACCTCGAGGGACATGCAGTGATCGATTCTTGGAAGTCCACGTTGAGGCTATGGAATACTTCAGCGAAGAATGGAAGCAACGCAGCAACGACTAACGAAGGAGACGGAAATTTTTTCAGAAAGAATTCAGAAACTATTCCTTAAAATTGTAACACATACTAGATTACTCTTGCACCAAAACTATTGAAGAGCCATAAAATGCTACAGATTCGATGAATCCGCTCAATATAGTAAAAGTGAAGAGGGAGAAACCATGCGTTTTCCAACATTCAAATCAAGAATCATTATTTTCATGTCGAGGAAATGAAGCTAATAAAAAACACCCAAATTGTAGTTTTCCAATTTTAGTGGAATGGTGAAAGTTCAGGAATTTCTAGTATTATTCTCGATTTGAGCTCTATGAGCTACTTCTTGTAACCAAAATAAATGTACTGACCAGATGTCTCTATGAAAATTCGCAATTTTTAAGGTTCCTTCTCGATTTTCAATTTTCTCCAAAGCAGAGTTCAATGCAAATTAGGGAAATACTAAACGTAACGAGTACAACGAAAAAATATTGGGCGAATTGAAGCGGCTACAATTATGAAGATTTTCTAGGATATTTGTGCAGGACTTATGCCATCAATGTTAGATTGATGCATAACTTGAAATTCCGTTACTATATCCAGCTCAAATAAAATCCTCTGATTTGATATACAAGGTGTCCGTAAAGTATGTGTACACTTTTTGATTGTTAATATCTTTCTTCCCAACAAGTCTTTTGCCTTGCTTCAGTTTTTGTAGAGCTGGCTTCAACACGGATTTACAGTATGGAGCGAATCACCGATCGCTCTTCATTACTGTAGGATTACGGTAGACCTTGAAACATATGGTGTCAATGTGGAAAAAGCTGCCATCTCAAAATTTTTCAAAAAAGAAGTGAAAACTTGTGTAATAGGGTTTTTATGGACACTGAGTTCAATCCTCAACTATTCACAAGATTGCGAAGCTTTCTAAACGGTATAACCGCACTTTTTAGGAACATTTTAAAATGGCCGCTACCTCTTACCCGGCATCTTCAATGAAGCATCTTAGTAAGCTGGGAGCTTTACACTTAATATCAACAACTCTAATTAGCCTAGTGTAAAAGCTTTCAGGCTGTTTTGTTTCCTTTCGGAGACAAAACATGGCATTCCATGGCTCAAAACCCTCATTGAAGTTCCTACCGTAATCCTACAGTAATGAAGAGCAATTGATTCGCTCCATACTGCGAATCTAAGCTGAAGCCAGCTCTACAAAACGGCGCCTGAAGCAAGGCAAAAGACTTGTTGGGAAGAAAGATATTGAGGATCAAACAGTGTATACATACTTTACGGACACCCTGTATATTGGAGAAAATCTTGGCTTTCTGCACGTGCTTGAATCAAAATTCTTTACATATGGGGATGATACTAGCTTATTCAGAAAAATACCCAGAAAGTAGTTTTTCGAGTTGTCGCCATCATTGTTAAAACTACTGAGATCTGAATATAATTTTGCTTTTTGTTTTGTGACCTATTTCAACTAAGAAAATTGGTAGTGATTGAAGGACTTTATGCATAGTCATGAAATCCCGATTTTTTACATCCAACTTATTGATTTTGTCACAAATTGATTTTCTAAAATGTATAATGACATCTAATTTATAACAAAGAGCATACAAATATTGACTGGTTTGTCCAGGTTTGAAAACATTTCTTCTTTTTTTCTTTCTTTTTTATTGCAAGAATTGTGCTTCAACCTGATGAATTTAAGTAGGCTACTAAGTGAAGTAAATAGTGTTAACAGCCTAATTTTAGTGAAATTACTTCCTAAAGTGTTTTTCGAAACTGAAATTCCCTTCCGCTAACTGAAAAGAAAACAAAGCGCAGGAGCTTTTGCATTATTGTCCCGAGAATTTTCAGATCAATAGCGTTACTTAGTAATAGTGATTATGTAAGAGATACACGGAATTCTCGAATTTTCTAGTGAAGTTTTAGTTTCTTCTTCAAGTAAAAGCTTTTAATAGCTGCAGGACTATCAAAAGTGGAAAAGAGAGAAAAGCTAAAACCTTTCTAGCATGCCTACCTAACAAATAGCCAAAGAATGATATAAAACGGTGGTTGCATGAGAGAGGAAAGCGCTAATTTGTACCTGACTGACGCTGTCGATGAAGCTTGACAAGTGCCCTCGGGTGCCTCTGATGATAGAACCGAATGACGAATTTCCTAACACTGTTGGTTCTTCTTCTGTTCGTTGTTGTACCACTGAAAATATGCGATCTAACATTGTAAAATTACGAATGTGATGTCACACTTCACACAACATTTTATCGATCAGCTTTTTGTGCTTTTCACATTTTCCCGGCGTGCAATCAGCAAATTTCAATTCATATACCATTTTCCACCCCGCAGAGCTTCATTTTTAGTTTATGGATTCTTTAAGATTTTTCATAAGATAGCTATAATCACATGGTCAAGAGTAAAAGGGATGAGACATTCGGATTCACTCATTGCCTAATTTCCCTTCCCTGCCAACGTCATTTCCGTGAACTAGGGAAATTCGCGGAAATGAAGACGTTGACGGAATACTGCGTCGGTTGGGGAAATAAAGTTTGGAGAAAGTGGAAGGAGGGTGGGGGGGGGGGGAATCCGAGCTATATTTGAGAGAGTGGACTTTCGTTTGTACTCATCAAAATCGGATAATTCTTTGGAAATGATAGCGACAGTCATTTTTTTTTTGCGCTTCACGAACCTGGATTTTTGGAAAAATTTCCTTTCACAATACGCTGTGGTGCTTAAGGGCTATGCACGTTTTTGCACAAAAACAATTATGTTAAAAATTTACACAATTTGCAATCTAACAGAAATGAAAAGTTCTCCAAGACTTTACAGTCAAATGTCGAGACAAATTAAATTTTAATCTTGCATAATCAGCCACTGGAAGCTTGCAGGGAATCGCTTGCAAACGTTAAGGGCATGGCTCATTAGCACAAGATGGATTCAACATGCGGGTTTTCCATGCAGGAAATGCTATGTCTATGTCTGTCTATAGGCAAGCTTTCATCCGCAAAAGCTTTTATCCAGAATGCCTATAGCATCGATTCATGGATAATTAGTGAAAAAGAACTTCGAGTTTTGGATCATTTTAGATTTTTTTGAGTGGATCAAAATATATGCATTTGAAAAGTTTCATAGTAGAACTTTAGTCATTTTTTTACAAATGAAAAATGAAAATGGGCGTGGCCCGAGCGACCACTTGCATCCCAAATAATAATTAAAGAACAAAATGTGCGACCAGAAAGTAAACTAGAAATCCGCTATGGATCTGGTCTAAGTAGGAGAAAAGGGGAATATTCCAGCTCTATGTGTGGCGATAAACCACATCTGTAGCGGTTGTTGTGGTTCTTCGTTAATAGATCATTTTTTGCATTTTTACGAAAGATTGTAAAGGGGTGTGTCGGCCACAAAAACAGTCTATACCAATAGGCAGAACGTGTCTCTCGGAAGAAAACTTCCCTATCTTCAATTTTTTTTGTAGATCTAAAATGACAATAACTACAGCTTCAATGTCAACAAGATGATTTGATTATGGAAAGATCCGATAAGAACCGGTTGCGACAAATCAACGATTTTTTTACTGCTGCCTAAGTCAAGTTTTTTTGAGATACCTAATATAGCTCAGTATATTTGACGAATGATGCGCTCCTGCGGTGTCGGCAACACTTGCACGTAAAAAATGGCGCAGAGTGCATAAACTTGAGTTTTGCGGTTATGGCCCAGATCATACTTCACGCGATTTCAGTCGCGACGCATTTTGGCAAATTTCCAACTGTTTATAAGCCATTGCAGCGCAATCTGAATCTCCGAAAGATAGAGCATTTTGTAGATCTACGAAAGTTTTACACAACGCATGCGTAATCTATGAGTGTTGGATTTGAAGACATCTGGCAGATTGCCAGATCGCGTAGCGACGACAAGACCGCGTGAAGTATGCCCGCTTCTTTGGAATTTTTGACGCGCAAATGGCAATGCAGGGACGCTATAAAAACAATCAAATCTGCTAGACCCTAGTTCGCTTACCAAGTAACTAACCTAGTAGCTAAGTAGGTTCAATTCCTAAAACTAGATCCAATTACAGAGAAGAGGTCCTCAACTGAAAACTGTTGACATCTGCGAAACGAGAATGGGGGGCGAATCAATCGCGGGAAGGCTTAGCGCTGTAGGCTTACTTTGGAAAAGCCATTGAGACGCGGAGGGAAGCGGCAAAGCGAAATGAGGTTAAAAGGGCGCAATCGATTCTGCAGCCTGGCCTCCTAGCGAGAAATGCAAGGATATTGATCCGAAGAAAGAAGCATTCTAATGCTATGAATGGACATCTGCAATTCAGCCACAAGCCGTTCGATTCTGCGCTGCAAAAGTGCAGGATATCGTTGGATCTGCGGCTAATTGCGCTTGCACATTCTCTTATGCCTAAGCTAGGGCCGATAATCGCGAATTATAGCCGTCAAGTCATTTACGCAATGTGTGTACTGCACAGGATACAAGCTAATTGACTACTTGTAGGAATAGACCTACTTATTTCCAGTAATTCGACTTGTTTCCTTGTCTATTTTGATTTGAATGGATATGTATCACTTAGAAGTTCACATTTTTACTGTTTGTTACGCTAGAAAAGGTTTTACTTGAAGTTATCAGTGAAGGTGTCGTCGTTTGCCACGCATAGTGTGCAAACACACACATTGAGTCACAAATGACTCGAGGATACTACTCTACAAATTCATAACATAAAATTTACTTGGATAAGTGTGCTCCATTGATTGTTGAAGGTTTTGGGTGGATTCCCCTCAGCTGTCGACGCGCCACTCAAACCAATTCGTTGCTTCAATGACGTGGTTCGATGAAGGCGCTTCGCGAGAGAAAAATCCTGAAATTGCATATTTCAAAGATCACATCGCGGCAGTGAAATGCCACCAGAGCGCGTAAGGCAGCGGAAACGAATGCAAATGACGACACACCAGACTACGGTAGAGAGACAAGAGTAAATAATGAAAGGAGGTAGGGACTGTGGCGAGACTACTCTCGTCCAGCTGTCATAGCAAATTATGACTGATTAAAATGCAGGATCGGTTTCAAGGTCATTCAAAACAAGTGACAAATGAGATTGTCAAGATAATGGTTCAGTTCGTGTGTCAAGCGTGTACCAAGTGATATTGTGACTGCAATAAATTCTGTCGTTGAGGTTTTTATATAAACCTATTTTACAAATAGAATCATGTATTACGGATAATCCACATTAAACAAGCTGAAAAACACTAGATCTTTGAGTTTCTGTTAAAAACTGCACCATGGTAATGTATCCTCGAGCACTTGTGAAATATCTGAGTCTGCACACTATGCGCTGCAACCGACGACATCCTTACTGATTTTTATAGCAAAAACTTTTCTGGCGTAATAAAGCGTAGGAACTAATCAATACATATCCAGATCAGTTATTAGAGAAAAAGGATTAAGGAGAAGTGGAAATGAGCAGGTTCTAATCATATAACTCCTCAAATAGCGCGTATGGTGTTCAATACGCATATTAGCTACAAAATCCGGCGGAAGAGTATCTTAACGTATTTGTAATAGTATTTTATTTCTGTTTTATTATTCTAACCGTGGCATTTTTCAGACAAGGATACCGACTGTAAGAAAAAAAGGAATATTTGTACAAAATCAATGTTCAAAAATTGCTTTGAAGTGGTGCATTTCAAGCTGCTGTGTTTTGCAAGATGAGAGCGTTCAACTAAGCCCCAATGCTTTTGCTTGTAGTTGCTTATGGGTGGGCTTACGCGTGTTCCCACGCGCCGAATAAGAGAGAAGAGCGATGCTGAAAAATCCCAGATGTTGACAGCTTCATACTTCAAAGCGACCAGCTCGTGACTGACAAAACGCTCAACATGGAAAAGCGAGTATAGTCCAGTAGTAGTAACGTTTGATATAGTGCACTTGCGATGGCGAGGACATTTGCGCGAAAGAGATACCACGCTGACGCCAACGATAATTCTAAAACCGGACATCCTCGTCATTATTCACGCGCAAATGTTGTTGGCATCAACAACGTTGCATTGACCTACTTACTAGACCGTACATTTTGTACAATTGAGTGGCCCTTTTGTTAATGTGTGCAATCACATCTTTCCAGGCTGTGACGGCTGATCACCAGTTAGGAAGTGCATCATAACTGATAAAACATGACCTTACAAAGAAAAATTGTGCCTGAGTACCAGTTACAACCAAGGAAAAAGCATAAGAGGACCAAAATTTGGGTTCAAAATCTACTGCAAGAGATAAATACGCCAAAGGCCCATGCTAGGCTGGAAAATGTGCATTCAGCAAGGAAACATTTTCGATTGCAAACAAAATTAGAGCTTGATCGTTTTCAGAAAAAGGAAGAACGCAACCGTACTTTGAAAAATCCATCAATTTATGAAACAATATTTTTCTTTTGGAATGCGCGTTATGCACATGCCTAGTCCGATTTGCAGGATTATGTATTTAATATATAATACTTTCTACATGCACAGAAAATGCTACGATACGATAAATACTTACGTGATTTTGCAAAAAGTCTCTACGTTTGCTAGCCAAGCTATGATTGACTTATAATTCAATAAATCATAGACAATTAGGGATGTCGTACAAAATTGACTTCAGACTTATTGAAAGAGGTTATAAATAACGTCAAATATATTAGGTTGGTGTAAAAGTTTTGTCAGTTTTTTCAATCCATCGGCAAACACGCTAGCATGGAGATCATCAAACACCCCAAAATATATCCGATGCAGAATTTTTTCCTCTTTCCAGCTGCTAAACACTCATTGCATTTAGTTGAGAGAGTGACGAGATATTTGCTGAAAATGACAACCACTCGTTTTTACCATATCCATATTTCACTAATTTTCAAAATTTTGGTATGAGACTTTCAAAGGAGCCCTAATAAGTACCAGATAGGGCAGACCTTTTGCCAACTTATGCAATTTTTTTCTTTTTCTCAGCTGCTTTTTCAGATTTTTGCTATATAATTTTCTAAAAGTCTTGTGTTTTGGAAAAATCGCATAACCTGTTATTGGAACCAAACACTGCAAAACCTACAGAATACTGAGGTTCAAGACTCATTACTACCGCTACCGTTACAAAGTACATGAGCGATTTTCGCTTCAAATTAAGAAGATTTTGAACATAGGTTACGGCAGTGCGCATTCCTGAAATTGAGAAATACTGCGATTTTCCCCACAATTTTCGCCTGTCTCGGCAAAAAAAGACAAGTGTTAGAAGGAGGAGAAAAAGTTGAATCGAATGGTGACTGAAATGTTCAGCATTTTAGGTTCTACGAGATTAAAATAGGCTAAGGGCCGCATGCACTAACCTCCCTGCGGCGAGGGGAGCGGCGTCCCCAATGATGAAAAAGCCGCAGCGGCGTCCGCACGCGGTCCCTTCATAACGGGGGGCGCCGCTCCCCTCGCCGCAGAAATGTTAGTGCATACGGGCCTAAGTGTAAAATTTGGTCACTTTAAAAAATGAATCGTAGAAATTCTGGAGGACAGGCCGTAGGGCTACAAAAAACTGCTTCTATTGGCAAAAGGTTTGCCCTATTTCCTGGTATTAAGGCTCCTCCGAAAGTCTAATACAAAAATTTTGAAAATTAGTGAAATTTGGACATGGTAAAAACGAGTGATTGTATTTTCCAGCAAATATCTCGTCAATCTCGCAACGAAACGCAATGAGAGTTCAGCAGCTGAAAAGACGAAGAAATTCTGCATCGGACACATTCTGAAATGTTTGTTTATCTTCATTCTAGCGTGTTTGCAGATGGATTGAAAAAATTGACAAAACTTTTGCACCGACCTAATATTGGGTTGTCCCGAAAGTTTTGTCCGTTTTTTCAACCTATCATAAAAATACGTGGGAACAAACATAGGGAAACGCGCTAAGCACTACCCGACGCATTTTTTCCTCCTCTTTCTAACTGTCAAGCCCTCATGCCGATTGATCTTTTGCTCACTGAGATAAACGCTGAAATTTCGAACCCATGGTTTTTACTATGTCCAAGTTTGACAATTTTTCACAATCTTCATTTTCAACTTTTGAAAGATCTTTGATAGCCCTCAGATAGAGTAAGCAAAGGGCAATGCAACGCAATTATTTGGCATATCTAGCTGGCTTTTCAATATTTTTAAAGATAATTTTTTCAAAAGTCTTCAATTTTGCGAAGTTCTAAAATACAGAAACGCTTCGAACACTAACGAATCATCGAATTTTGAAGTTTTTAAAAATCGATTACGATTATTCACTATTTTTACGAAGCAAATGAGCGTTTAACGCTTCGAAATAGGATTTTGATTTTACGTGTACACGCTGGGGTGGGGTCAAATTCAAGAATTATGAAAAATTTATCGCCAAAGACCCCGCAAATTGGAGAGGAAATACACTCACTGGAAAGAGGAGGAAAAGCTGCATCGAGTAACACCTTCGTTGTGCGCCGTTTCATGATCTCTGGCTTTTGGCATCACCAAAAGTGGAATTTGATAGCATCAGAAAAATAATTCTATAAAATTTTCAAGGCTGGCTATAGATGCCGCAAAATTGCATTATATTGCCCTTTGTTTGCTCTATCTAATTGCTATAGAGCTTTTCTAAAAGTCAAAAATGAAGATTGTGAAAAATTGCCAAACTTGGACATAGTAAAAACCATGGGTTCGCAATTTCGGCGCTTATCTCAGTGAACAAAAGATTAATCGGCATGGAAGCATGACAATTTGAGAAAGAAGAAAAAGGTGCGTCGGATAGTGCTTAGAGCGTTTCCCTATCTTCGTTCCACGCGTTTTTATGATAGGTTGAAAAAACGGACAAAACTTTCGGGTACCTAATATATATGTTGGAGACTCGCACGGAAACTGTTTCATGTGAATTTCCTTACTGAATGAGCATCAAGGGCCTTTCCTTTTCAAGTAAGATTTCTTTCCGGAAGAACAGAAATGCTTTGCACTTTTTTCTTTTATGTGCGCACGTCATATCCATCATTGCCTAAATGCTCTACATTTAATCAATAGAATGTCGAGGTTTTGGTGAGTGTGTATTTAGTCAAGCTTTGTTTTGCTCGAGTTAGTTCACAATTGGATTTCTGCAATGCTCTTCGAACTTACTTCAAAGCTGAAATACAAAAGGAATTTCTGATAAAGGATTTTAAGAAAGCTGGAAACTGAGAACGCAAATCAGTGACCCTCGTGTCTTGCTCCTTAGGTTCCACAAGGTTTTCTTCGAATAGTTCGCAAAAGAGTTTTTCAATAACATTCGAATCAGAAGTTTCATTTGAAAATAGACACGTTTTTCCAGAATTATTCAGTTTTCATCTAATTTTATTTGTTAGAATGCATTAGGTGCTGACCATGAAGGCAGCCAGATCTTCCCCTGCTAACTTACGTAACTACATACAAGGAATGTGTAATTTCTATAGATAGTATTGTGAATGAAGGTAACTATCATAGTAGGATAGCCTTGGCGACCATGGATTCAGAAAATGCTATATTTACTTATCCGGCAGATGTCTTGGATAACTCCATTTTCTTTCATATTGAGTTCTAGTCCTGAGTAAAAAATAAGAAAACTGTCCCTCCTTTTATGAAAAGTGAGAGATTGAGGAGTGAATCTCAGGCATTGTCACTACACATGTCAATTTCTCCGTCCTTAGTGGTAAACAATCAGCGACAATTTCGAAGGAACGATGGACTAGGCCCACTGATTGTGGCGGATGGCAGCCCTTCGAGCGGAGATA